CACCGTAAGTCTCTCATTATGTGCCATTTCTTTTATTTGCTTATAAGTTCTGTTCTGACTTTGGAAGTCATGATATTTTAAGGTGAGGAAACGCAGGCATCACATGACAGCTGCAGAAATAGAGCCAGCCCTTTAAGCCACAACCTCGTCCCCAAGTTCCAGGGCTATTCTGCTATGTCGACTCCCCCACTCTCTTCTACCTTCAAATCTCTTAGTATGAAAAATTTTTGAGAAAAAGCCAGAAGTACTTGAGAGAAAATTGAAATCTTGTCTCGGTTTTACAACCCATCAACTGGGGAATGCCACTCAATACCCACATGGTTGTTGCCTTGTGGCCTCATCTCAAACAAGTCCTAATTAATGGCAAAACTAGACAGACTATGGCATAGTTGGAAGAAATGCATTCTTCAAACATAAAGTACTGTTGTTCAATTCCTTCCTCCTACTCCACCTCAAACAAATCTGGCTTTCTTTTTATCTTTTTGTTGCATAAGAAGAAATACAAAAAAAAAAAGCCACACACTGAAAAGAGAAGTAAGAAAATAGTCCTGAGGACTAAAAAGAGTAAAATACTAGAAACAATCGTAAACTAAACAGAGTTGCACAGGCGTTATCACTGGCACTATGGCGCATAGCCTAGGCCAGTTTTAACATGTTTTTATGTGGGAATACTTAAGAGATTTCCTCTCTGAAATAAGAAAAATCAGTTTGAATATTATTTCATTCAAATAAATAACAATTAGATTACAAGCTTGTTTCTGATCATTAACTACTAATTGGAAGAGGACTAAGAATACTTTTATGTTGAGGTGACAATTAAAAAGAATTTTTAATGCTTCAGTGTAAATCAATAAGAAAACAGAATTTCATTAGCAAAGTAACATTTACACCAATGTATTAGGAGTATAGTTATTAGTACCAATGGAAGCTATAAAGAAACAGATATTCAATTATGATTAAGATCATTGGGTCTAGAGTCAGACAGATATTAGTTGGAAACATCTGTGTAGCTAGACTTTGGCAAGCTACTTGTTTTTGTCTCTCCTTGTAATCTGCAAAATTTGAATAATAAAAATACTCAGTTCAGGGCCGGCCCGGTGGCGCACTGGAGAGTGCGCTGCTTAGGAGCACGGTGGCGCTCCCGCCGAGGGTTCGGATCCCATGTGGAGACCAGTTCCCGCTCACTGGCTGAGCGCGGTGCGGGCACGACACCGAGGGTTGCGATCCCGTTGCCAGTCCCCGGTACGGGCGCGACACCGAGGGTTGCGATCCCGTTGCCGGTCCCCGGTACAGGCGCGACATCAAGGGTTGCGATCCCGTTACCGGTCAGTAAAAAAGACAAAAAGGAAAAAAAAATACTCAGTTCATAAAGATTAAATTTGAGCTTCTTATGCCCATGGGCTACTGGGTGAGGCATATTCTTCTTTGCTGTAAAATACCATTCAAATGAAAACATTGAAAAACCCAGTCCCAAGATCTCTTCCAACTAGAAGACATTAAGATGGCAGCCTGATGCCATGACTTCTGATGAGCTCTGAACACAGGTAGGAAGGAAAGAGTACCATATTCTGACAAGCTGATGGCATAGCCAGTTAATACAGCTGGGACTCTGGGACACTCAGCAAATGACATACTTATAAGCAGTGCATAGCATTGGTTCTCATAGGCCCATCCCCAGTGGTTAGTATCACTGCAATTTTCCACCTTGAAGATATTGAGTAGCATGAAGTCAATTGAGGACATGTCTAAGATAGACCTCTTTTATAGCTTGACTCATCTAAAGCATTATCATGAAAAGAAATGCCTGAGTTGGTGATAGATGATTAATAAGCCATGAGAGAAATATTCACAAATACAGAATACAGAAAATACTAAAACAAAACTACTGTTAAGGTGTGACTTCTGGGTTCTGGCAGAACCTGAGTTCAAATCCAGTTTCTACAGCATCTAGGTGACCTTTGATGAGTTACGTGTCTCTGAGCAGCAGTTCCCTCAAATGTAAAGTGAGAATGATAGCACATGTAGTTGTTTATTGGTTTGTCACAAAGGTTGAATAAGGTAACTTGGGTAAAGCAACTGGCTGAATGTCTGGAACAGAAGAGTACTCTGCAAAGTCGGTCTCATCTCTTTCCCTTTTAACTGTACTGCAGAAAATCACTTAGGGTCTCTCTCCATTGATAACACTTTTTGGACATGAAATGGAATTAAGGTAGAAGTTAAGGCCAGCCCATAAAAATGATTCAATAACCAGTAGGAAAATGAAAAACATAAGTAAATAAAAAATAACAGTAAATAATTTATTGTTGGTTCAACATCATGTTGATTTATTGTGTTTTTAAAAGACAAACTTGGATTTTTGTTTTACTTGTTTTCTTTAGTCTGTTATTGTTTCTTTAGGAGCATAGGGTTGTATAGTTTGGTAACCTAAAAGTAAATTGATTTGCCTCCATGTTAAAGAAAGGCCTCTACTTAGATTTTATACCCTCCAAAGGCCCACATTCTCTGGGGGGGGAAAAAAAGAAGCCTTGCTTTCATTGTAAGCAACGGGTATAATAATATTCTTTTAGTTTAATTAACAGTTGATTGAATGATTAAATATGTGTTTAAAATGGCCAAAAAATGAAATGCTATTGTACTAGGAAAATACCCTCCCATTAACAGTAATTGAGTTTTAACAAATGAGTTGATTAGGAGGAAAGGAAAAAGGAACACAGTTCAGCAAGTGCAACCTGATGCCACACCCCGGTTTCTGCACCGACCTAACGTACTTTTGTCATAGCACTGTGGAGAAAATCAATGGCTGCATTTCTTAGCGATAATACACTTTCCAGTTAATGAATCATGCACTGAAACCATTGCTCTTTATTTATTCACTTGTTTTCTTTTTCAAAGAGTTTCTATTCATTTTCTCTGAAGATTATGGAGGATATTCAAAGTGTCATGCATTTATATGTTGAAGGAGCAGCACAGATGATATGTCGTCATGGCCTATGTTTGTCTTGACTAGTTTAATTTCCTGTTTTCTCTGCCGTAAGTAAGGACCTATGCTGAGACTAAGCCAGGAATATTAAAATATAGCAAGGGTCCAGGCATACACCAGGATGTGATCATGACAGGGTTCAGCTAGGTCTAGGAAACCCATGGGACCAGGGCAGTTGGAAAAAGGACATCATGCTTGTTAAATGGAGTAACAAGTCCTCAAAGGGTTGGGTGGGGGGTAGGAATCAGATTAGAGCCCTGTGTCTGTGACTCAAATTGGTAAATTGTGTGGCCACCAGAGACTCATATCTGAGTCCTCAAAAGTAGCTAGGATGGGAGTGGCCGAGTGGGGAGGGAAGGATTAATCACACAAAATGTGAAAAACCAACAAAGCTCAAAACAACTGACTGTGCTCGCTATTTCCATTAGAAATTCTATAAGACTCTGGGGGCTCAGAACAGTGTTTGACCAAAAGGCATAGGGAGTTTCCCTTCCTCCAGGGAGCACAGTCTCAGTGCCAGGAGAGATCCAGCCTGGGACGCTGCAGCTGGGTGAGTACACCTGGCAGGAGACAACCCACAGCTGCTGGCAGCAGGGGCCCATCCCTTCTTCAGCTTTGCAGATGGAGGAGACTTTGGCAGAGTCCAAAGGACTTTTCACTAGTTCACGTGAATTTCCCTCAGATATTCCTAGATCAGTAACAAAGACATCTGAGAGAGGCTGGAGGATCTGCCATGTGATAAGTATTCCATGTGATAATGTGATTCTACTTTAACCAGATGGGTATAACCTTGATTAGTATTTGTTACAGAAGAACAACAGCAAGGTGCTCTTACACTAAGAGAAGAGACTATACACCATGGATGGTGGGACTTGTCACAGCTGTGGAGTCAACACACCTGGGGAGACTCACCCTGCCCTACTTACTGTAATGCCAGACACTGCTCTGAGTAGGTGCTGGCTGAGTGTTTACTCATTTAATCCTCACAACAAGCCTGCAGCTATCCCCATCTTAGATATGAGAAAACAGAAGCTCAGAGAGGTTAAGTAACTCATCCACATCACACAGCTTGTAAGTGGTAAATCTGGGACTTGAAGCAGAAAGCCTGGCTCCAGAGCCCCATCTTACCACCAAGTGACACTTGTGCCTTGGCACAAATGCTCGCTAAATGTTTGCTGATCAAAATTATTTTTCCGGGGCCGGCCCGGTGGCACATTGCTACAGTGTGCCGCTTGGGAGCGCGGCGGCGCTCCCGCTGAGGGTTCGGATCCCACGTACAGGCCGGCCGCTCACTGGCTGAGCGAGGTGCAGGCGCAACACTGAGGGTTGCGATCCGCTGCCGGTCACGAAAAAAGACAAAAAGGAAAAAAAAATTATTTTGCCAAGGAATTAAAAATGCATTGAGTTTATTATTCTGTATTTGATAGTCTGACTACTCTTAAAAGCAAACAGAAAAATACTCACAAGTACCAAAATTAAACAAAATCTGAAATCACCAGAACATGGTACAATGATTAGATTTTCTGATTAACCCAGGAAAATTACTGTATGCTTTCAATGTATTCTTATCCTCTGAAGAAACTAAATTTCTAGGAAGTTCTGTGACCCACACCACACCATAGAGCTCACAAGTAAGTTAGCCCGTGCTGGACCCTGGGAGTCCTACTGTCCCTCTAGCTTTTTCTCCAGTGTCACATTGCTGCCTACTCTCACAGGAAGGGGTTGTGCCAACCCAAGATGCTCCCTGGAGGTTGATAGCTTGAAAGACAAAGTCTCAAGGGTTGTGCTTCTTTTGTCCTTCCTCTCATCTAGTTGACAGGCAGAGAACAATTCTGATCGAATATTCTAATGAATGATTCTAGTTAATCATCCTGAGAATCAATCAACAGCAATCCTTAAAAGAATAGAAAATGGACAAAATACAGTGGACAACCATCCTGACTTCAGTACAAAGTAGCACCAGTCATAAAAGGACAATTAAACCAGGAAATCCACCAGCCTATTATCCAGGTCCATTTACCTTGTCGCGGAGGATGAGAGGCAAGGGCAGTAAAACCAAAAGAGCAGAAACTATAAGGAGAAACCGACGATAAGCCAAAATGTATCTGAGGAGTTTCATGGTCCCGGGCAGGTGCCTTCGGTAGTGGCCTCCTCAAAATCAGGCAGATGTTAAATAACCAGCCTGGGTTAATATTTTTCCAGCCCATCGTCTGTACTCACTGCCCTAGACTGACCAACGTGAGTTAAAATTAAATCTCATTTTTTTTTATTGTTTTACTATCACCATTAACACGGAAAGACAAGCCCGAGAATGTTTGCAAGAAATCAAAGAGCGTTTGCTCATGTGGTTTGGGCAAGGTAAAACTGTTTTCTCCCTACTTTCTTTGTTCACATTAACTGTAATATAGACCGGACAAGTCCAGGAAAAGGCAAAAATCGACGTTGGTAGAGTTTGATCACAATGAGGCCCCTTTGACCTTTTGATGTCCCTGAGTCTGGGACTCCCTAACTGTAGCAGTTACCACACTATTGGTGCCCTGAGCAAGGCTGCACAGGCTGCCTCCACACCCTTACTAAGGAAGTTTATGTCCAGTGTGTAAATTGAAAACAGCAATTCCAATAGAAGGGATTTGGGTTTATGGTAGTGGGAAAGGGAAAGTTTTTTGGTACAGATGGATTTTTCTGAGGCTTCTCAGATAACTTTTTTTTTGGACAGGCTTTAAAATTTATTAGCATAAAGTTGTAGGAAGTATTCTTACTTTAAGTATAATTTACTGTGGTAAAATATAAGTAAAATTTACCATTCTAACCATTTTTTAGTGTATGATTCAGTGGCATTAAGTACCATGAAGTTTGTTTTCATTTTACAACAGATTTTAATTCTCTATTTTTTGTGCGTTATCTTTTTATAAAAATTATCTGTTTTATATTTTTGGCCACAAAACAAGTCTTAATACACTTTTAAAGACTAAGATCATAGAAAATATGTTCTCTAACCACAATAACAGAAGGAAATTTAGAAAATTCACAAATGTGTGGTAATTAAATAACGCTCTCCTAAGTAAACAATGGGTAAAAAGAAATATCACAGAGAAATTAGAGAGTACTTTGAGATAAAAATCAAAGTGCAACATATTAAAATTTATAGGATGCAGGTTTCACGGAGTGCCTAAAAGAAAATTTATACTTGTAAACACCTGTATTAAAATGCTACAATCTTTTTTAAAGTGTTAATCTCTCTGTAAATTTTCTCCTTCATATTCTGGATTTTTTTGTTTGTTTGTTTCATTATGTTGTCTAACTTGAGTCTTCTCCTACCTCAGTGAGTTTCCTTATGATTGTTGCTTGGAATTTCTTTTCTGTGATTTCAAGGTTTCCTCCTCTATAGGGTCTGTCATTTGAGAATTACTCTATTTTTTTTTTTTTGGTGGTGTCATATTTTCTTGGTTTTTCATATTTCTAGTATGTCTGTGTTGATATCTGGTCACCTGGTAGAGCACTTGCTTCTTCTGTTACTCTGGAGTGGGCTTTAAGGAGAGAGATGTCCTCTTAATTTTCCAGTCTCCAGTGGTAACTCTCCTGTGTCAATGCAGTTGAGTGTCTGGCTGGCTGCCTGCATGGTAGTTGTGGTTACTGCTGTGGTGTCCACCACTTTTGCTGCAGCCATGGCTATGGCCGTGGCTGTGGTGGGCCACCCGTTTGGAAGTGGTGTTTTTGGTGTGCTCCTGGGGATGCTGCCCTCAGCTCCTGCTTTTGGACCCCAGGCATGTTCTATTTTTTGTCTGCATCACTCAGATAATATTTTAAGACACACCTCTGCAATATTTATGACAAATTTTCCCTATTGCTTGAAAGTAAATTTCTGTGTATTTCTTGGACCCTACTAACTTCTTTTGATAAGAAACCGAAAGCAACTATAAACCCTCCCCTTATATAAACCCTCCCCTTAAGACCTTTGCAGGCCTGAGTTGATACTATTTTGCTGATACTAACTACACAATTATCAGGGAACTTGCACAAAGATAAGTCACTTGGACCATCCAAGGCGAGTGTGTGGGTGTGTGTGTATGTGTGTGGACTCTCTGATTTGTTTCTGATTGTGTTGTGAATTAATCACCCAACAAACTTCAACTAAGTAACTACTATGCACCTAGCCTTAGGTATAAACACATTACCAGCCCTCCTAAAATTTATAGTCAATTTCTCTTGACACAAATAACCTTATTCTTATGTTATCTATGGTTAGCCTTTAGACTTTATTTCTAATTCCATACTAATATAAATTTGCTTCCTTTCCCTGTTACGGAAAACAATTCTTTCATCAACACGCACCCTATTAACATAAATGACAAAGCATTTTTTTCTCTAAAAAAGACTAAATTTCTAAAAATGTATTACATGTAGTGATTCAGAAAAATAAGAAGAGTAAGCAGGAAAAAAAGTTTTCAAGCCCAAAAGGCACATCATATCTTGAATTTTCAGATGAAAGAAAAAAAAAGATAATTACAAATAATAATAGTAATAAATAGTGAGCAATAATAAGTAGTAACAATAAATATTGTTAAAAAACACATTAAAGAAATTGTATTCAAATCAGCTGCAATATTTATTTTTTCCATTAACACCTTTGTGTGCTCTTTTTTTTAAAAAACACTATTTGTGAAGAAACCATTTCTGTTCTCAGATTTTTTAAGCCACTTGGTGAGACCATTTGAACCTCACTTTTTCATCTTAGACAATTTTACTTTGTGAGATGACACCAACAAATGAAAAGGCATTTGCAGGACATTAAACAGGAATGAGGGCCTATATGTGTAGGGAATAGTGGCACTTAAACCAGACAGAGGCTAAGGGAGAAGCACTGACATTTGTCAGTGCCTTCTTTCTGTGCCCCATTTTCTCTCTTCTGGTGCCCATTTCTCACCAGAGGAAGGTTCCCAGGACTCTCCTATTTGGCCTGAAGCTCTTTATTCTGTGGGTTGCCATTATTACAAAATGGTTCCACCTTTTTTTATGTCCAGCTGATCTCCTGTTCCTCAGCAATTTTCTCTCCACTGTCAAAGAAAGAAATGATATGACAAAATAATTCACATTAAACATGAATGACTGATATGAGTTAAATGTCTCTGCAAGAGTTGCCAGGAAATGAAACTCAACGGGAGAATTTGGGGCCTCTTGGGAACATACCTTCAGGTATCTTTCAAATCACATCACATTGTTAACTAGTTCCACGACTAAGACAAATCAGCCATACTTGTCAAATTTCACCTCTTCTCTGTATAGAAAAACATAAATCTCTCTTAATGCATCATAATTGTGTTATAATTTATCTAAATTGAATCACATCATTGTATAATCATAAATTAATCCATTTAAAAAATGTTCTATAAATATATTTAAAAATTACAAATACTGTTCATTCATTCATTGTTATCTACCATATGCTAGGGAGTTTACATTCACCACCTCATTTAATCTTCAAAACCCAGTACGAGGTATATATTATTATAATCGTTTGTATGTAATAGATTTGGAAACTAAGATTCAAAGATGCCAGGTAAAATATCCCAGGTACTAAGTGGCATAACAAAGATTTGAATCCAGCTCTTCCTGGTTCCTGAGGCAATGGTTTTTTTGAACTATGTCTTGTGTCAACCGTAACAACTATTCATTTGACACTAAACACTGAATCATCAAATCTAGATTTTGCATGTAGACGCCTAGTTTGGTTAGCTTAGGGGTTTGTCATTGAGCCTTATGAATGGACATATATTTTGTGAAATTCAGGTTCAAGTGCAGGGAAAAGAAAGTTTATTTGTATTAAAGAAGTTAAATTATTCTCTATACTTGAGTTACGTAGACAATCAATGCGAGGGGAGTAGAAATGAGTTTTTGTGCAGCCATCCACGTGTTTCTCTCAGTATTGTTTTCTGGTTGTCTCTTTCTTATGCCACATTCACTCTCAAATTCAGGCTTTTCTTCGGGTCTTTTCCTCTTCCAAAATCATGCTTCCCTTCTCTGTCTTTAAATCATATCCATCCTTGAAGTTTGACCTGTAGACTCATCTTAAATCTGCTGCCCTCCATAAATCCATCATGACAATTCCAGTCCCTGCCCAAATCCCTGATCTCTGACCTTCCATGCACTCACCCAGGGTACCCCTTGGGCCACCTACATCCAAATAATCTGGGGTGCTTGACAAAAATACAGATTCCTTGCCCTAGTGGATCAAAATGTGGCTTGGGAATCTTCATGTTTTGTTGGTTCCCTACATAATTTTCACACACACTAAAATTTGAGAATTATTGACTTAATATCTGTAAGATACATTTGGCCATGTGAGTAGACTGACTTACATTATTTATTATTTTAACAGTGCATGTAAATCTTAAATCCTCAATAGGATTGTTAATTCTTTGAGTACAGTAGCCATTAATTTACTTCCTTTGATCCCTTATGTCGATACCAAATTGCAAGGTAGAAGTTAATACTCAGTAAATAGTTTCTCTAAACTTACCTATGCATATAGATAAATGGAAACTAATTAGTATCATTGCTTATATAATGTGTGTAGAGCAGGTAGTCAATAGAGTATTTAGGTTTGCAAAGAGATATAGCTTTTCAGTGAGGAATATTTCCACCATTGTAAGTGTACCTATCCACAGACACTCATGGAAAAGTGTGCATGCTCAGGATATACTTTTACTAGAAACCAACCAACCAACCAACCAAGGCAAAATGCTTTTACTGTTGGTGAAAACAGCCAGGTATATAAAAAGACAATGCATTTGCTTTAATTATGTGTTTTTATTTTCATTCTTGGAGTTTTTAGAGTTTGAAGTACATGCTCGTATTAGTCAATTGCCATTGTTAAGATTATTGGTAGAGGGATGTAAGCCAGATTTTCTTCTGATGGTCATTTGTTCTTAAGCCTCGCCTTGACTAGCCCCTAATTCTGAACTCAGTCATGATGCATCCCTATTTACATATCCTGGTTACCTCCATAAGTTCCACAACTCCCAGGCATTGCACTGTGAAGGTGATACTCTTTTGAGTGCCATATGTGAGCTAAGTCCCAAAACATTTTTAGTTACTATTAAAACTAAGATGATTTTTTTTCTCCTGCCTAGCAT